TTTTTTTTTTTTTTTAGGAAAAAAAGTAAGACTTTACGGAAATTCAATTTTTTCTAAGGCTTAAAGAAAAAGGATAGCTATTGTCAATCGTTAGCAATTGCTAAGAGTTTGCCATGTAATTGACTAAAATGAAATTCGAAATATTTTTTCGTCGCTTTTTATATATTTAAATGTTACATTTTGTCAAGTTAAGGCTTAAACTTCATTTTCATTCTCTCCTTTTCAATGTTTATTTCTATGAAATTACTTTTGTATACGAATGAATGGAATGCTATTTCTAAAGTTAAAAATTAGAAAACCTTCGAAACATTTTTTTTGTTTTGTTTCTTTTTTTTTTAAAAAGAAATTCCACAAAAATTTGATCAGTCCTTGCAATTTTTAAAAGTCAAAATGAATGAAACTCGTGATGATCTTATCAGTTACTCCTTTTTGTCAATTTATTCTTTTCTCACTCCCACTTATTTCTTCCCTTTTATAAAATGAAAACATATTTTCAATGAAATATCATTTATCAATTACTATCAACGGCAGAGATGAAAATGATAATAAAACATTTAAAAAATGAATAAAAGGAATAAATAAATAAGAGAGATAATAAAAGTACGGTAAGTGAAAAAGATTAGCAATGTTTTATGTTTTTTTTTCTTTTTTTCAATTGTTATCATTTTGTTCATGCATATCAAAATGTTAGCTTCAAAAATTCAAATAACTTTGAAAATTGCAAAAAATTTCGAAGATTTAAAATTATAGCAAAAATAGTTTTATTGACATACAATACGAACTATCTACCATTCTAAAAATTAATTAATGATAATTACATGCCATTTGAAAGTTATACATTAACAAAAAAAAAAATCCATTTCTTTTCACTGCTGCATTCCATCAAATCACAAAAGTATCATTTGCCATCAATCCTTTCATGTTAATTCCTGCTAATTAATGCTAAAGTACATTTGAATGTTATCAACAAACTCTTTTAAATTAATTAATATCAAGTTTCGAAGGTCTTATATATATTTGTATGTGGTATGAACTAATATGCTTTAGCTGAAACCATAGCTTTACTAATGCTTAGCGAATTTTTTGAGCTTATCGGACAAATATATGGAATAATCAGCCTATCTTTCTTTTATTAGCTTTACCAAGTGTAAATTTTATGACACATAAGCATAATTAATTATTTGACATTAATGAAACGAATGAGAAAAAAGGGCATTTAAAATAAAATAATTTGAAAAATTTTTAACGAAATTCTTTTTCTTCACTTTTTTGAATTATTTTCTTTTATTTCATTTAGCTTTTTAGTATTTGTATTATTTTCAATATTAATTTGCAAAATTTTTTCTTAAATAAAAAATTGTTGAATGAGTTATTGTTTGGATATTTTTTCTCCTTTTTTTTTTTAAATTATCATTTACATTAGTGAAACTATGGCCTTTAAACCATTGAATTCAATTGCTAGCAATGAAAGCTATGAATTATTGATTGTTCAAAATCATTTTAAATTTATTTCCAAGAGTTAAAAAGCTCACAAATATTATATTGATATCATCATTATGCCGATTGGCTTTAAAATGCTTTTTTTCCTTTGCTTTATTCCCAATTTTTTTTCTTTCTCTTTTTTTTGTTTGTTTGTTTGAAATTCAAATTATTTTCATTTCACAAAATTTCTTCCTTTTACTTTTCATTCGACTTTCACGCCAAAAATAGCCGCTCTCTCACTCTCATATTTGCTCCTATTTTGTTGATTTGTATAAGTTTTTTTTTTTTCGGAATTGCTTTTTGTTAATTTAAACAAGAAATTATTAATAAATAAGCAAAATCAATTCCTTCTTATTACAAATCAATTTTCGAATTGATATTTCTTTCTGCTTTTGTTTCTTTCTTTTTCTATTTATATTTCATTTATCTCACAATCCAAACCGTTTTTTCCGGATGAAACAATAATCATTCATTGCAATTTTGGTAATTCCGGAGTAAGTATGTGCAAAAATCCTTTTTAAATTTTATAATAATTTAAATGTCATATATTACAAATAATGGAATCGAATCGTTGTTTTTCCTTAAATACTGTAAAGTGGTTTTTCCGGAATTTGTGAATTGTTTTAATCCATTTCAAAACCGAATGATGAAGTTTCATTTTTTATCCAAAATTTTGGAAATCTTTTTTTTAAACTTAAAATGAATATTTTTCAAAAGTGATCAAATCATTTATTACATTCATTATTTGTTTTATTTCTTCTCCTTTTTTCATTGCTTTTATATTTGCTGCTCACAAAATACAGTACTTACAGTATGATCGGAAGACATTATCATCTTGATCATATATTATATTTTAAGTGAGAGTTTGCAGTATTCGAATTATTTCAGGTGATTATAAATTTGAAATAAAGAATGAAAGAAAATGTGTAACTGATAATTTCCACAATCATTAATTAGTATTTGTGAGTACGTACATGCATGCGTGTGTCTGCGTGTGTATGTACGTGTGCGTGCGTGTGTGTGCGTGGGATTATCGCACTGCTTGAATCTCCGTTATTTTTCACCGTTTTATATGACACATATTTGTTGTACGTATGATTTATTACATTTCCTGATTATTGTACTCTTTTATTTCTGGTTTTTCCTGTGTGTTTTTATTATTCAATAATAATGACAAAATTAAAATTTCATATTATATTGAATTGTGTTTATTTTGCATCTAATCGTATTGTACAAAGTAAAATAACAATTAACGATTTCAAATATCAATAAAATAAAAACTTTAAAGCCCTCTTTTTGAAAATTAATATTACAAATTAAATAAACAAATAAATATTTGATACATTCTAACAAATTTGAAATTCAGTTCTTTACATCGGCAAAAATGAAAATGTTTAAATGTGGACATACTAAATTTACATAGTTTTTTTAATCACACAATATGAGGAAGAATAATTGCAAATTTTAAGCTAATTCTAAATTACGTTAATTGATAAGTAAACGCTGCGTTCATTACTTAGTAAAATTGCTAGCTCAGACTTATTTCCATCAAACTTTATTAATATTAGACATTGTAGTCCGGAATTAATTGGCAGAAAAATTTTTTGATTTTTCATTTTTGATTAACAAATTGCGCATTTTAGTATTCTATCATTAGCAAACAAAATGAGCTGTGCAATGAATGGAAATAATTTTAAATTAGCATTTATCGATATCATTTTAAATCGAATAATTTAATTTTTATTTGCGGTATAGTATAATAAATGACAAAGATACTATTTGAATTTTAATTAATTCCATGCAATAAATACACGAAATCATATTTTAAATAAGCATAGCATACAATATTTTTCAACCTTATCAAGCTTTTTAAATCGGTTTTGACCGGTTTATGAACTAGAAGTGGTCCGGTTAAATTGCGTCATCACCGAATATCTCTATTTCGTACAAATGTAAAAAGAAATTCTGTCAAGTACACTGTCGATTGTATTTATTTATGAAAAAAAAGAGTTGTTCAGACCATATTAATTATTCAGCATATAAAAGATAAGAAATGAAAGCAAAAAGTTTGTTAATGGGAAAGAAAATATGAATATTAAAGTACCGTTAAATGATAGTTGACAAGTCACCGATCATTTTATCAAAGATGAAAAAGAAAATAGATAATGAAAAGGAGAATACCTGAACGAGTAAAACAATCATTAATGAAATCGGATAATTTTATCAAATTCATCTGATAATGATAAGCTATGGAAATTATTGAGAAGTTATAGATGCAATTATGACTATATATGTGTAATTATTCATCAGATTTTATTGAACTATTAATTGATTTGATTTAAATTTTCTGTTTTAAGATTCCGACAAAATTTTATTCGATTCATCAAATTCATCAAATCTTTAGATATTGTACTTCATTTAAATACTTCTTAACACTTGAATGATGAAAGTTGAAGTTGAAATTTCCAACAATTATAACACAATCGATCTCTGATTTGTCGCGAATGTGTCGGATAATGATAATTTATATATGGATGGGAATGATAAGTTGTAAATTTTTAATGAAAATATTATCAATTTACCAAATTACCAAAGTACTTCATTGGAAAGATTATCAATTTATTCGTTGGTAATTAACAACTCTTCTTTTTTCTTTCATATCATCAGAAGCTCTCTTATTCGTTCCTTCATTCATTTCATAAATCATTACTACAAATTTGGGATAACAAAAAGCGGTAATGACTATATTCAGTGCTACAGTAGGAAATAAGGTAGAATAGAAATAAGGTAGAATAGAAATCGTCATTATGATTGTGATATCTACTTACTTATCCTTCATTGTAACTGTAACAGTGCATGTAATCATTACCGCACTCATTCGAACCAATCATTACTGTACTTCTAAGCAGTCATTTGTTATACTTATT